GTGTCTTTTGGTGGATCAGGACTATAAGTTGTGACTAAATGATTAAATTCGATTTCATCTGTGTCTGAATTTTGAGTAGATAGATTCTGTAATTCTAAAATTTGAATTCTATTTTTCAACTGTTGTACTTTTTTCTTTACTTCATTTATCTCTTGTTTTAGTTCTGAGATAGAAGGTTCTTTTTGCTTAATGAGATGTTGTTCGCTGACTCTTTTCATAATAGAGGCAAAATTATATTCATCAGGTGTTTTACTGATATGAGGTGTTTTTGCTTTTGTTTTAGCTAAGTTTATAAATTTGGTAATCACAGATCTTTTTTCATCTGGATCTGTAATTTTTTCTATGAGATCTAAAATCAGATTATCTTCTTGTGTTAGAGTATGAAGATTGTGCGTTGGGATGGGACAAGCACAATTTGATTCTTGCATTGGATGGGAAGATTGTTCATCAGAAGAGGAGTCTGAAGAATCTGACGATTCTGTCCATATAAAATCATCTTCTTGGATATTTCCTATTAAAGATTCATTGGAATCTGTATTTGAAGAGGATATATCATCATAATTGATAATAGTATAAAGTTTTGTTTTTAATGATTCATCTAATTGTAAAGCATCTAGTTTCTTCTTTACTTTACATTGGTGTTTATAGTGGCCAAGTTTTCCACATTTATAACATACTGGAATTTTCTTTTTATTTTTAGAGTGGGGAGAAAACTTTTTTATAAATTTCTGTTGTTTAGACTTCTTATATTTTTTATGTATTTTATCAGACCTATATTTTTCTTTCTTATATTTTTTCTTTTTCTTGTACAGTTTTTCCGGTTTATTTTTTCTATCTATGTGATAACCAAACTGTTCGCAAAAATCACCAAGCTCTTTTCGTTTAGTAATTTGTTGTTTATCGAGTTGGCGTTTAAGCTTTAGGTCAGTACACAATGCTAGTCCTTCAGCACATATTTCTGCTGATAATTCTCCTAATGTGTATGCAGAATATATGATAACTCCATTATGTTTCTTTTTGAGTCTTTCTTTGACTTTTTCAGCAAATAGGTAGGGAAGACCTGCTATAAACTTTTCTTTCCAATGATCCAGTTGACAATCTTCTCGTATTAATAATCTTGAAAAGAATACATCCTTATACCACTTGTAATGAGATAGGTAGGACATCTTAGGTTTGACAGCAAATCTTCTGATCTTGCTGCTAATAAAGCTGTACTACCTACAAAGTGTAGAGTGATAGTATAAATTAAAGTGTTTACCGCATCACTTTCTGTATAGATTATTTCTTGATTTTGTTCATTTCTGGCTGTCCATTGCCTGGTATTAGTCGGAATTCTGTTTTTTGTTTCATCATCAACATAAAAGTCCCACCAGCCTCGTAACCAGCCAGTAAATCCATTTACTATTGCTTTGACAACCTCTTGATCCGGATTGCCAGCCATTTTATTTGCGGAGGCAAACATTGTCATATGTCTCATGACATCTAGTATTTTTGGATCTGATAAACCATCTATTGTCCAATTGACAATTGATCTTCCTGAATAGGAAACAGCCTGTTGTATAGCATCTTCTTCTAATTGTACATCAACAGGTGTAGGCCTCTTATAGTATGGTAAAGCGGTGATTGGTTTCCATGTTTTACCATATGCTATCCTATTTAGATCAGTGGGTGAAGTATCCATAAAAGCAGAATCTTGATTATGTAAGGTATCTTCTAGAATTGGTTCCTCCTCTTGGAGCATTAAAGTCTCATGCTCAGGAATCTTCATTTTGCCTTTATCCAATGATTCTGGAATATTGGGTAAAGGTATTGAAATGCTAGGTATTGGTATAGGAATACTCAGTTTTGGCGAAGGAATTCCTTTGATATCTAATTGGGCTAATTTAGATATTAATTGATCCATAAGTGTTTTATTATCTTCTCCTAGATGAAATTTGGTTTTATTGAGTTCTAGAAGAGGTTTAAATAAAACAAATTTTGGAATAGGAGGGGTTACTCCCTTAGGTTGGGGAGTGACCAATCTTTCTATTCGTTCAGTTTGTTTTCCTAACGATTGCATATATAGGTTGGTATAATTATTTTGTTCTACAATATGAGGAATTAATTCATGTTTCTTTCCCATATCCTTGGGTATAACCTTATAAGATGTTGCAATAATTTCATATAAGGATTGTGGTGGTTCTCCTCTTATACTTGGAGGTTTTGTACCTTTTAGGATAATACTTTTCTCAGGAGGATGTATACTAGAAGTAGTAGTTCCATCTGTGCTTACATAAGTTTTCTCTTCAATTGTTTGTATAAGAAACTGAGGAATTTGGATATTATATTGGGCACAAATTTCTTGTAACTAGATAAAGAATCCTTTTGTTGATCTTTCTTTTTTCAGAAATTTATTGTATTTTTTATGAAATAATTCTACTAGTCTGGGTTGAAATGTTTTTAGATACCATTCTCTAATCCCTCGATTTTCTGGGGCTAGATAATCTTGTTTTAGATAGTGAATATCTACTTTCTTCTTTTTTGATTTATATTCTAGATATTCATCTATGTTGATATCTTCTTCAAATTGTAAAGTGAGTATGTGGAATTCTGCTATGTCGGGTTCAGATGAATAAGCAGGTATTACTACATGATCAGTTGTTCTTTTTACTCCTTGTATTTGTAAGTCTGAAGATGTTGTAGGTATTGATGAAGAAGGAAGGATTATAACTTCTAGAGTTGTATGACAAGATTTTCTTGCAGGAATGAATGATTTTCTAATCCTTTTTCTGTTTATTTCTAAATCATCCTATATTATTGGTGTATTAGTTTGA